CAGGAGCCAGGAGCCTCCTCCAAGTCTCCCATGTAGGTTCAAGGGCCCAAGGACTTGGCCATCTTCTATTGCTTTCCAGGCCATAGCAGAGAGCTGGATTGGAAGTGTAGCAGCCAGGACTGAACCAGTAACCATATGGGATGCCAGCACTGCAGGTGGAAGCTTTACCTGCTATGCCACAGCACCGGCCCCCAAAAAATCCATATTGAAAAAATGCTGTATACTCATGTTAGAATTCTGATCAAGATCTATATATATCAGCACTGAAAAATCTAAGAAAAAAATATTGAAGGTTTTTTTTGTTTGTTTAAAAAAAACACACAAAATTACAGTGGTAACATTTTTTAAAATGTTTAAATTCAAAAAATAATGTATCTTTTTATTTACAATATAAAGAAAAGACATGGACTGGAAACCCACCAGAAAATATCCTCTAGGGTAGAAAGAGGGGGAGAGAGAACAAGGAAAGAGAAGAAAAGGACTGGGAAGGAAAAGAGAGGGGCTGGTATTCCTATTACATGTTATTTAGCATTAATTTATTCTGACACGAGGATGAAATATTAGTGTGTGTTCATTTGGGGTGTGAGTCTGTTACACGTTCCTTTGCATTTTTTTGTTTTTTGCCAAGATTAAAATTTTAAGAGTCTATTTAATGAAAACTAAAAACATCTCAGGGTTCAACTTCTACCTCCAGTCTAGGTCTCCTCTCTGAGCATTTAAAATCTTTTACCCAGTTCCTATTAGACCGTTATACCTGAACTCTTGAGATACCAAACTGTCTAAAATGTCCTGATTTCTTCTGCTTCATCATCTTTCTACTGATGTGGCCACTACACATTCCTCTGACTCCCAACAGTCTCCAACCACTTGGATGCTGTGCCGGAGTGGGTTAAGCAGCTGCCTGTGCTACCAGCATCCCATATGGGCCCTGGTTCAAGTCCTGGCTGCTCCACTTCAGATCCAGCTTCCTGCAAATGTGCCTGGGAAAGCAGTGGAAGATGGCCCAAGTGCTTGGGTCCCTGCACTCACAAGGGAGACCTGGAAGAAGCTCCTGGCTCCTGGCTTTGGCTTGGCCCAGCCCCAGCTGTTATGGCCATCTGGAGAGTGAACCAGCAAATGGAAGATCGATCTCTCTCTCTCTCTCTCTCTCTCTCTCACTATCACTATTTCTATCTCTCTGGATCTCTGTCTTTCAAATAAAATAAATCTTTTTTAAAAACGGTAAGAAAAAAATTTCTTCAATCAAGTAAATTCTGCACACAGACTCAACAGCCCAAGTACAAGCAGAGCTTAGTGCCTCTTTAGTTCCAAGAGCCAGGTCCCTGAGGGAAGCCCTCAAAAACAGTGTGAACATTCCTACTCTGCAAAATGGAAGTGGAATTCCTGTATAGGAAGTAGCAAGCGTTTAGTAGTAAAGATGTCCCACATCAGGGTCTCAGCTTTGGTTCCCAACTCCAGATTCCTGTCAATGCAGACCCTGGGCAGCTCAACCAACTGGATTCCTGCCTCCCATGTAGGAGCCCTAGATGTTATACCTGGAGCCTGGCCTGGGGTGTGGCCTGGCCTAGGCCCAGCCAGTGGGAGAGTCTGAGGAGCAGATCACCAAATGGGAGCTCTGTCTTATGCCTCCTTCTTTCTCTCTCTCTCTCTCTCTCTCTCTCTGCTTCTCAAGTAAACTTTTAAAATTCTTTTTAAAAAACAAAGTCCTTTATTGGGTCAGGCATTGTGGCACAGCAGATTAAGCCACCACATGGGTTGCCCACATCCCATATTGAAGTGCTGGTTCAAGTCCCAACTATTCCACTTTTAATCCAACTTCCTGTTAATACACCTGGGAAGGCAGCAGATGACGGCCCAAGTATTCTTGGCTTCTGGGCTCAGGCTGGCCCAGCCCTGGCTGTTGTGGGCATCTGGGGAGTGAGCTAACAGATGGAAGATGTCTGTCTCTCCCTCTCTGTCTCTCCGCCTTTCAAATATATTTGTGTGTGTGTGTGTGTGTGTGTGTATATATATATATATATCACACAAATATATATACATATATATATATACACACATACATGCATATATATATATATTTTTTTTAAGTGCTTCATCATAGGTCCCTGCTCCACATTGCCAACCACATCTCCCACAACCCTGGCCCACTCTGCTCTCTAACACCGGCTATCCTTATACTTCACATACACTCACTCTGACCAGCTTCTTTGCCCATCAGGATCATAAAATTTTACTCCAACACTTACCACACTCCTATACATGCACCTGCTTCATCCCCCTTTTCTCTTCTGATACAACATTAGCATGTATGTTTCGACCTGTCTTTTGATGGGTTCTCTGAAACCAGAAAAATGCTTCTATTTCCAGTGCCAAAAAAATCTGCAGGTCATTCCTCAAAGGAAGCCAAGACCCTCTATCCCTGCACCCTCACTTCTGCACGAACATCTTCTAACCTTACCTCCTGGGGCCTCTCTAACCCCTGCAACCAATTCAGCCAACAATGTAACTGTTCTTTCACTCCCACCTCTCTGACATTTTTATCTTCTTTTCAGCTTCTGCCACTGTTAAGGTTCTGACAATACCAGTGTGAATTCTCTTGCCTTTTGACAGTGAATGAAATCCTGCTAATAACTGTCTTTAATTCCCCTCCCTATAAAAGACAGGTTAAATGGGGCACCCAGCTAAATGTTACTGACAGTTTTAAATGCCAGCATATTAAAGCAAAAGGTGCAAGGTCAGTCTTTTCTAATTGTTGCACTTAAGAAGGTTAAAATCTAATCTTCAGCTTTGAAAAGGCAGAAAGTCTAATTTATCAACTCAACATGAAATGATAAAGTTCTAGGGCATTCACATTAATAAAATGCACAAAAGGCTGATTCATCTTACAGAAGGCCAAATCAACTAAGTCACATTCCCACAAAATGCATATGTTGCAACCTTAACCCCTAATGTGACTGCATTTAGACACAGGATCTTCAGGGAGATAATCAAGGTTAAATAATGTTACAGGGTGGGATCTTCAGGTGATAGGAGCAGTAGCCTTAAAAGAGGAGGAAGAAACGCCAAAGGAGTTGTCTCCCCTACCCCACCACGCTGTTATAGAGAAAAGGCCACGGACACAACCAGAACGTGGTCCTCCTAAAGCTGAGGAGCACCAAAGAACTCACAGCACTTTGAATGTCGACTTCGAGCCTCAGAACTGCTCGGGCATATGTTGTGGTGCAGCTGGCTCAGCCACCACTTGAGACACTGACATCTCGTATCAGAATCCCTGGGATCTAGTCACAGATTGGTGCTGCTGACCCAGTCTTCCACCAATGCACCTGGGAGGTAGTGGATGATGGCCTGAGTACCTGGGTTCCTGCCAGCCATGTAGCAGATCTGGATGGAGTTCTCAACCTCTGATTTCAGCTTGGCCCAGTCCCAGCTGTTGCAGGCATTTGGGGAATGAACCAGTGAATGGAAGATCAATCCATCCATCCATCCATCAATCTCTCTCTCTCTCTTTCTATCTCTCCCTGTCACTCTGCCTTTCAAATACATACATAAATCTTAAAAACAAAAGAAGATAAAATGAATTTCTGTTATGCAAGCACCTCCATGTGTGGTGATCTGTTATGGCAGCCCTAGCAGACAAATACCCCAATTTGTTCATTTTAAATAAAGACACAGCATACCACTCAAACTTGTCATTAAGGACAACTCATTCAAAGCACCAAAGTGTTTAGGTCTAAAAAATCAAATTCATGGTCAGTTATTCAGCAAGCAAGAAAGTAGGAGGAGATGATTTAAATGTCCTCAAGGAGTCTGGAATAGTTTCTAATACTCACTTAAATAGGCTTTTGCCTTCCTTTCAATAAATATTAATCAAACTCCTTCCCTTTGGCCTTCTTACATTATCCCTATTCACTGTGGTCTCAAGAGCCTGTCATTACAATAGCCCTGACTCCCTAAGAACTTACAATTACTCAGACCACAACTCACCCTACAAAAGCTACATTTAGGAAGCCAAGTTTCACTTCACTTTTTTTTAAGAGATTTATTTATTTATTTATTTGAAAGGAAGAGTTACAGAGAGAGAAAGACAAAGGCAGAGAGAGAGAGAGAGAGAGATCTTCCATCCACTGATTCACTCCCCAAATGGCTGCAACAGCCAGGGCTGTGTCAGGCCAAGGCCAGGATCCTGGAGCTTCTAAGTCTCCCAAATGCTTGGGCCATTTCCCACTGCTTTTCCCAGGGCATTAGCAGGAAGCTGGTCCAGAAGTGGAGCAGCTGGATCTCAAACAGGCACCTATATGGGATACACCATACTAGGCTACCTTTTCACTCTTGATTAATACACCTTACTCTTAGGCAAACTGTCCCCAAATAACTACCTGGTATTTAGCTTCCACCCCATAAAAAGCTGATCTGACCTTGGGGAGACTCCTCTGGGAAATAAAGGGGAGGTAAGGTAAATTCATACCAAAATGTGAGGACACATTTTAAGCTTATCATTCCCTACAGATTAAAAATTAAAAAACAGAACAGTTCTGAACACAATAAAAACACTTGCCAGTCCTCTTATTTCCACAAAAAAAAAAAAAGAGAAAAAGAAATCTCTCCATAGAATAATAAACAGTGCAATGCAATAGATATTTCAGTCCATGAAAATGCTTATCCAACAACACTATACTTAAAATTATAAATAAGTCTTAAGGAATTAGATCTTTTCCTAGGCTGTTCAAATATGTAGGACTGAAAGAAAGGTCCCTGCCAACCACCCAAGCTGAAACTCCAACGTCAGTGACAAAGGGCTGTATCAGAAAGGGGTCAAGGAACTAGAAAGTTGGCGAAGAATAACATTTACACCCTACAGTGATATTTAGGACTAGAGTCAAAATAAATAAGCAGAACAATCTTTTAAAGGAAGATGGTAAGTAAGTTAATATATGTGAAAAACAGAATGAACAATTCTAAGAAATGGTATGTTACAAACTCGTCAGCAAAGCTTTACTTACATGAAGGAATAATGAACTGTGGCTCAGTGTTGCCTGCGTAGCCAAGCTTGGTATACCTAGAAGCACAAAGTCATCAACACATGTTTAGATAATAATATTCTTGTCTATATGCCATTCATGTCTTTTATTATAAATTTTCCAAGTCCTAAAATAGCAAGCTTGAGAATATTCCCCTGAAATTACTAAAAAAAAAAAAAAATGTGACCACTGACAATCAAACACTACTTTCAAAGAAGAAAGCAAGCAACTACAAAAACTTAAAATATACTTGTTTCTAATGGAAAAATAGAAACCGATATATCTAGCACAAAAATTACATTTGTGTATTCCTAGTAACTTTTAAAACTGCTTTCACATTCTTTTAATCTTCACAAAACTTCTGTGCAAGTAGATATTATGCATATTTTGCAGATGAAAAAACTGAGCCACTGATAAATTAACTAGGCCTCCCAAGGCCAAATAGCTAGTGAACCGCAGAGAGCTCAGATCTGAGCATGCAGGCGAATCCCAGCACTAGCTCTCTGGGAAGTATACTTACTTCCCAAACTTCCTGAACTTTAGGGGGTGGGAGGGTAGAAAATGATTACATAACTTCCCTAAAATGTCATGGCATATGTCTAGAGCAGCTCTGCCATCTCCTGAGAATCATCTGACAGGAGCATCTCTTTATCATCTCATTTCAGAAGGAGCCCATTTTCTGTCAAGATACTCTCTGTACGATGGATTCCAAAAGTCGTAACTAAAACAAATGCCAAAATACTACTATCTGTTCCAAAAGCACTTGCTAATCTCCTAAATATAAAAAGGGGGAGGGGTTGAAAAAAACCACTCAGACCATCTGCTGGAAATGAAGAGCTGAAAAGCAGTTAAGTAAATTGAAAAAACTCATCAGCTCTTCTTTCGTATTAGGACTACTGTAATTAACACTAAGGCATCATTCTGTAAGAATGCTTATATTGAATAAAAATACTTCTTAGCAGTCTGAAAGTAAATTTATTAAATTTACAAATTATTTCAAGATGCTTTGATATTAAATTTTTTCAATGTGGTAGTATTTCCAAATTCCAATAAATTAATGTTATGACTTTAATGTATTTTCCCATATGCTAAGTTTACTATTTAAATATACAATGAATGGATAAGGTTTTGAAAGATGTAAAAATCAAGTTGGGGGGCCAGTGTTGTGGTATAACAGATTAAGCTGCTGCCTGCAATGCCGGCATCCCCTATGGGCACCAGTTCAAGTCCTGGCTATCCCAGTTCCATCCAGCTCCCTGCCAATGCACCTGGGAAAGGGGAAGATGGCCTGAGTGCTTAGCCCCCACACTCATGTAGGAGACCCAGAAGAAGCTCCCGGCTCCTAGCTTTGGCCTGGCCCAACACCAGCCATTGTGGCCATTTGGAGAGTGAGCCTGTCTATGGCCATACTACCCTGAATGCACCTGATCTCCTCTGACCTGGGAAACTAAGCAGGGTCAGGCCTGGTTAGTACTTGGATGGGAGAGAGTGAACCAGCAGATGGAAGATCTCAATCTCTCTCTCAATATCTCTCTCTCTCTCTCTCCCTGTCTTTGTAACTCCCTTTCAAATATATAAAATAAATCTTAAAAAAAAAAAAAACTCCCAGTTGGCTCCCATTAAATCATACCTTTCTGCTCAGCCTCAATGGGATTTGAATTCTTCCTACCCCAGGAGCCAGGACCTGGCCAAGTCCCTTGGGTCCTACAAGGCAGCATGCTCTTAAATCCTCTCAACTTCTACGAACACAGGGCTGGGAACAGGATACACAACGTAATGAACCCACAAGTCCCCCACTCCACAGTCACAGACCAACAGAGGAAGTTCAAAGCTCACCCAGAGATAAGGGCTTTCAAGAATGGAAACAACAGACTGTACTTTAAAAATTCCAGATGAGGGACAGGAAGTTAACCTATGATAATCATAGCAGTTAGGATGCACCCATCCTATATTCAATGTCTGGGTTCAATCCCTGATTCCAGCTTCTGACTCCAGCTGCCTGCTCATGTAGATCCTGGAAGGCAGCAATGACAGGTCAAAGAACTCTGTTCCTACCCATGTGGGAGGACTGGATTGAGTTCCCAGCTGTTGCAGACATTAGCGAAGGTGGACCAGGAGACAGGAGTACTCGCTTGTGCACGCTTTCTCTCTCTCTCTCTCTCAAATCTGAAGATTTTTTTAAAAATGTTTTATTTATGGGGCCAGCACTGTGGCACAGTGGGTTAAAGCCCTGGCCTGAAGTGCCGGCATCCCATATGGGCACTGGTTCGAGACTCGGCTGCCCCAGTTCCCATCCAGCTATCTGCTGTGGCCTGGGAAAGCAGTAGAAGATGGCCCAAACGCGTGGGCCCCTGGACCCATGTGGGGTACTCAAAAGAAGCTCCTGGCTCCTGGCTTCAGATCGGCACAGCTCTGGCCATTGCGGCCAATTGGATGACTTCTCTCTCTCTCTGCCTCTCCTCTCTCTGTGTAACTCTGACTTTCAAATAAATACATAAATCTTTAAAAAAAATTTTAAATTTATTTACATGAGAAGAAAAGAGTAAGAGATACATATAGACAGAAACAGAAAGAGGTCCTATGTGCTGGCTCATTGCCCAAATGCCTGTAATGGCCAAGGCTGAGTTGAAGTCAGAGAGGGAACCAGGAACTCAATCCTGTTCACTCACAAGGGTGGCAGGAACCCAGTTACTTCAGCCATCACAGCTGTCCTCCAGGGTCTGCATTAGCCGGCTGCTGGAGTCAGGAGCCAGAGAAAGGTATTGAACCAGGCACTCTCATGTGGGATGTAGGCATTTAACCACCAAGCTAAATGCTGATCTGAAATCTTTGTGTTTCTAACAAGGCACATCACCCATTGCCCCCCAAGAATGTGCAAGACTTAAGTAAATTCACCTGCCCACACAGCTAGGGTATGAGTTCTGGGATGACTTGAATCGGGTGCTCTTTCATGGTTCTATCTGCACCTCCTGGCACTGTACCTAGCACATGGCAGATACTCCGTAAGTATCTGCTGAATGAATTCTTCCAGATGTAAAGAAAGGTAATCACTGTCACAGTGCTGGGGAAAGGGTCAAAGTTTGAAAGGGGGACACTGAAGGTAAGAAAAAAAGTTAGATGCAACGAAAAACAGAAAAGACAACATGACATCACCTAATATAATCTCCTCCTTACAGATGAGAAAACACCTGAGATGGTTTAATTTAAAAAAATTGAAAAAAGATGGCACATCATTAACATTTACTAAAGTTAGGTGCTAAGTATCAATCACATTTACTATGTTATTTTCGTATTTAAAGTATGTTGTATGAGATAATACAATGCACTTTGGCACCAGACTGCCTGGATTCAATTCCCAGCTCTTCTATTTGGCAAAATCATAACTTCGGGTAAGTTACTTTACCTATGTGTACGTCTCCCCATCTATAAAATGGGAATAATAATACAAGCTAGGATTAGTATGAAAAGAGTGAGCAAACATACATAAAAACGTTAAAATGATGCTGTGTATACAATTTTTAGTTTCTAATTTTTCTGTGTATTTGAAATATTCACTTATTTCAAATTTGGAAAAGTTGAAAAAAGAAGAATCCATGTGCCCTGTGTCCTCAGTACTCATTCTTTCTGCTGTACACCAGAGTCTAATTTGTATAGTGGTGGAAATGAAATGCACACATGAATGGCAACTCTAGTAGGTACCAGACACCCTGCAACAACTAGTCTCCTCTCCCTTCCAGCTCTTTAAGTTTTATTCATTCATTCATTCATTTGAAAGAGACAGAGACAGAGACTCTTTCTTGTGCTGATTCACTCCTTAAATGCTCAGTTGGGGTCAGGGGCTGCAGCTGGGCTAAGCTGAAACCAGCAACTAACATTTCCATCCAAGTCTCCCACATGAGTATCAGGGACTCAAGTACTTGGGTCCACAACTCCTCAACTCATCTAAATATGGATGATGCCACTCAGCAACAGGTGCTGAAATACTCAGATTCTGAAGCCACAGCATTCTTTTAGAAAGAAGCATCTTGAAAGGAGACCTCGGTCACAGAGTTGCCCAGTAACATTGAGCAAACAATGATTTTTGTGACTGCCACAAAGCAACATGAAGTAACATTCATATTCTCATGTATGAACAACTTACTATGAAATATTCCCTTTCCCTATTAGCAGAACTGAAGCCATTTTTAAAAGGCACAAACTATTCAGATCTCTTTACTGTAATTTCATATCTTTTAATTTTTGTTATTCCATATATACATATTTTATCAAATACACTTGAAGTTTTGTTATACTAAATAATTACAATGTAATAAATGTCAAATTACACAGTTCAAAAAGAGACATTTTAGTTCAAATTTTTAATAAAATCTGCATCAACACAGGCTCATAGCAAGCACCGAAAATGTAACCTAAAAAGTACACATTCTCAAATTCTTTCCTAGGAGGATAATCCGATGCTATATTAGCATGCTCCCTTAGAGATGAGCTTGTAACAGTTCAAAGACATCAAGAGCAGGACCCAAAAATAATCAACAAGCAAAACATAATTCTTACATATGGAGACTACTCCTCCAATACAACATTTCTGAAAACAAAGAAAGATTCCTTATTTCAACCAGCTTACTAGCTAGAAACTATGTAGCAGGCACTGCATTAGTCACTGAGGATACCAGGTGGTATCAGCCTCAAAGTGTTTCTCAAAACGTTTTCTCAAAATTTTACCTAACTTTTTAAGAAAATAAATACATCTTCAAAAAATGTTTACCTATGACAAAGATAACTTCAAAATCAAGTTTTCAGTTGTAGCATGGACTACTGTCTCTGGAAGGCAAGTTTAAAGTCATCTGGATAGGCATTCAAAAAGAATCAGCTCCAGCTGAGAAGCCCCTCAAATGCAGATTCCCAGGGCCTGTGCAAGACTCATTAATGGCAATCTCCAGAGGACAAGAATGGACATCCACCATGGTTCTGACAGTCAACCAGCTTGGGAATCACTGACCTACACTACACCACATGTGCTCACCATTAACATTTTTAT